AGGCTGTTTTGCATAAAACAATCATACTTTTTTATATGAAGTGGGGTCCAGATAAACCTCATAACAAAATAGTAGAGTTCAAAGAAGTATAAACTTTGTAGTTGACAGCTTTTTAATTTAAGATGGTTTACGTGTCTAAATATTTAATATAAGTTTTCAGATCGGATTTGAGATGGCTAACAATGCCAAATGGAGACAAAGTCGACATCGAAGTTGTAGTACTCCACGAGATCAATAATTTTGCAGTAAATAACTTTTTCATTTGATATCATATTGAGTGTAAAATATATAATATAAGATTCAAATTTGGGTAATTAAAAGAATAGCACCAGATGCATAGATACAAGTTTGACGTAGCTAAGCTGGTATGAATGCTCGAGAGAACATTAAAGTCTTGAGTTTGAATCCTGATGTCCGGTTGCTCTCTGTCGGATCTGAATCCGGCAGTGATGCCAGGTTTAGACGCACAAACGATGTAGTAGCGTAGTGTAACAGCAAAGGCACAAAGTTCGTTGGACTTTGTACGTGTTTATGTACATGAGCGTCTTCATGTGTAATCTCTTTAGCAAAAAATTTAAGCTAAGCCACAATTTCTATGATTAAGTGTGTTGGTCATGGTACTAGTGCTATGCAGTTTGGGCACAAAGGAACACGTCCATCCTACTAAGAAAACATCTTGGCAAGTTTGAAAGTAAACAGCCTTACTCTATCCAAACGTTTTCAATTATGGTTCTGGCTTTCCCATAAGTCAAACATGCTCAACTTTGACAAATATATATAAGAAAATATTAATATTTATGTTACATAATTAGCATCACTAGATAGGTTGTTGAATTTATTTTTATAATAAACTTGTTTGAATATACAAATATTACTAATATTTTTTACAAATCTAGTTAGACCGAAGAAAGTTTGATTGTTATAAATACTACCGTAGCAACACATAAAAGTACGCTACTAGGCATCATTTCCATGTCAGATTACGACGGCATACGTCTAGTCGTCTGGATCGTGACATGTATTAATAGTATGTTGACGCAACCCTACCGCGTGATATGGTCTAAAAATCATATAAAAAACAAAGTTGAGCAAGTTGGAAAAGTTAGTGATGCATCCTAAGAATCTAATTAATCCAGCATTCCCTATTATTGAGGTCACGACAAAGCGCGTTGACTGACTTGTTAAGGTGCCAAGTACTCTACCGGTCACATACTTATCGAAGTACAATTTGGCTTGATATATATGGGGAGCCTGACTCAGTTTCATGCGTGGCGGTTGTATTTAACTTGCCATGAAGTGACATGTCGAGCAACCATTCAGAGAATTAATCGGTGAGACACTGAATTTGGATGCATGCATGGTTTGCGACATGGATCCGTGCTTCGTGAATCCTATTGGACACATCACAATGCTTGCATTGTTCAGCAACTGAATGGGTTCACTGTGATATTATATTGGCGCACTGCGGTCGTGGTATTGCACAGGGGAATTTTCCTACATGAGTGAGTTCACGTCCGATGCCCACTCTAAGTATGAATAATAGAGAATTTGTACAGATGATTCCTCAAAGAATTATCTAAATAATTTTTCTATCCAAAAATCTGGTTTATTTAATATTTCAAAATTCATAGAAAATTTATTTTAATTCCTAGGATAAAATCATACTCTATCCTAAGGTGCCAAGCTTGGAGTTATTTAAATCTTCTACGGTCCTGTTTTTGATTGCTTGCTAGTATATGCTCTCGCTGTCTGTTATAATAACTCATTATTGACAGCCCGATCATGTAGAAGCCTACCCGACTTCCACGAAAATACAGTAGCGCTCCGGTGGTCTGTGTCCTGTTTGGCTGATGGACAAAGTTGAGATGGTGGACTAAGCGGGTGAATAGTTCTTTTTAAATTTAATCGCGCCGGCTAATCGAAACAAATACGATATTAAAATAATCGGTCTAGCCAAGACTACACACCCTTTATCTAAGTTCACAAGCACCTTATAAAGATCCTAATTAGGCAACAAAGGTGCCGGACTAGCTAGAGCTCACGTAACCAATTTTAGAAGCAAGGTCACACAAACCTATATCACCAGTATTTTGCACACTGGGGAGCTCCTATACAATTCTAATAAGCAAAAGCACAAAGCTCCAAAGCTCACTAGCAAAGCTCAATAACAAGACAGCCAATGCCAAATTAGAGAGCGCAAATACTTAGCTACACAAACTAAGCAATGTGACTAACAAGGTTACACAAACTAAATTAGCCATGCAAGGGAGCTCCTTCTATGCTACACAAGCAAGAAGGTAACTAGTGAGCTACACAAGCTAACTAATTGCAAGAGCAACTACACAAGCACAATATAAATAAAGTAAATACAAGCTTGTGTAACGAGGATGCAAACCAATGAAAAAACAAGGATGACACGATGATTTTTATCCCGAGGTTCACGTGCTTGCCAACACGCTAGTCCCCGTTGAGACAAGCTCCAAGGTTGCCACCGGTCCTCTTGCTAGTGATGACCCGCAAGTCACACTCTCCCACGTGGAGTGCTTACCACAAGCTCTAGCACTTGACCTGGCTGGACCACTTGTCGTCCTTCGCGTCTCGCTCTACTAGAGTTGCTCTTCGCGGCTCCTGCGGGGTGAGCACAATCCCCGTCACAAAGCTCTTCTCCAGAGCACCGCACAAGCTTCTGCGGGCTTTGACAGAGACCACCACCAAGCCATCTAGGAGGTGGCAACCTCAAAGAGTAACAAGCACCACCGGCTTGCAACTCGATCACCTAGAGCCACTCGATGCAACCTCACAATACAATCACACTAGAATCGCTCACTCACTCGATCGGATGAACACTATCAAGCTCAAGTGAGTTGGAGAGCTCTAGTGTGCTAAGCTACTAGCCCATGGCCGGCCAATGCTTGGTTTTATAGCCCCAAGAAAATAGAGACATTGTACCCCTTCACTAGGCACTGCTCGGGGTGACCGGACGCACCCGACCAGCGTCCGGTTAATGGATGCACGCCATGAGTCGCCCCTGTTCAACCTCAGTCTTTTGATCTCAACGGCCGGCTGCCACGCACCAACGGTCAAGTGATGACCGTATGCACCTCTGCGCCAAGACCGGACACGCGAGCCTTAGAGTCCGATCATTTCCAGAGAGCTCCCTGAGCCTCTATTTTGCGACCGGACACGTCCGGTCCCTGGTGACCAGACTTGCCTCTGCGTTTGATCCCCTCTAGATCAACTCAGGGTGCTACGTCAGCGTATGTCATCACTAACCGGACGTAGCCCCTGCGCATCAGGTCATGTTCAATGCTAGCTTCTGGTCGAAGACCGAAGCCTACGCCTTCACTGCAGAGCATGACCGGACACGTAGGTCCCCCCGGATCCAGCGTCCGGTCACCTCCAGTGACCACTTATCGCCTCCATTTCTTCGCCGAGTTGATCCGTTTCAACTCCAACTTCTTCTCCTTTGCAAATGTGCCAACACCACCAAGTGTACACCACCATGTGTATGTGTGTTAGCTTTTCACAAACATTTTTGAAAGGATTAGCCACTCAACTTGCCACGCCACATGATCCTAGTGATGATGCAAAGTTAGATCACTCGAGTGACACTAGATGACCGATATGCAAACAAGTTTGCCCCTCTTGATAGTACGGCCATCTATCCTAAACCCGGTCATCAACTTCTCTACACACCTATGACCGGTGAAATAAAATACCCTAGGTTTAGATTAAAAGAGAGGGGAAAGAGAGAAGATGGCCGGACCTCTACATTCATGTTGGCACAGACCTCCTCTTGTTGGATCAAGGACTCAATCAGGGACTTCAATTTTGAGAGCTCATTCTCCAACTCCTTATCCGTTTGTTCCCCTGCCTGCTTAATCATGGAGTCAACTTTGGCTTGTTCTTTCTTTATGTTGCCATCATTTTCTTCGTGAATTTCTGAACTTGTTGCATGTGGTTGCGCTAGGATCCATGATACCTTTTGTATTTTGACGTAGCAGTTTCATAAATCATAAACAAATAGAAATGGCTTAAGTTTTGAGCAGTGAATCATTAACACGAGTAGAGAATAAAAATAATATACTATTTCTGTAAACAAGCAGAGAACCAATTCATAAAACCATTTTTTCTAGGAAAACAAGCGATATACATCATGAACATGTAAATCAGCAAACTAACTCCAGAAACCTCAATATGAAGAAACAACATCCATCGATCTAGGATTCAGAAGCGCATGATTCACACACAAATTAGGAGCACTAATCACTACCAAAGTTGAAACTTTTGCATCCTATCTGACATGAGAACCAACAAAGCACAGACTTTCTGAACACATCTCACTACTAACTTCTAACCCTTATACCACGCTTTTTTGTCACAACAGCATGGTTTCGTTGCAACAAGCGTTGTTATCACAACGATTTTCACTTTTGGTTGCGATAGATTGGTTTTTTTCCATGAAGATTGTTTTGTGGCCATAAGTGTGGAGATTGTTGCAAAAAGTAAGTGTTATCGCAACAAATTATTGAACGGTTGCAATAAGTGATTAATGTTGCCACGATTTGATTTGCATTGCGGGCAAGTTTATTTTCGTTGCAATACTAAGGTGATATTGCAACTCTTTATTTTATGGTTGCAATGGCCCATCTATATCGCCACGAATATGTTCCGTTGTATATAATAGTCGCTTGCATTGCAAAAAATTGGTACATATAGCAACGAAAAAAACTAGTTCGTTGCAATCACTAAGGTTGCAACGATTATGGTTTCGTTGTATGTAGCAGTTTCGTTCATTGCAAAAAGGTTATAATATAGCAACGAAAAATTACATTGTTGCAATACCTAAGCCTTTCCACTTTAATGGTTGCATAATTTTTTTTAAAAAAATGACAACAATAAGGGCTTCGAACCTGAGACCTCTTGGTCTCGAAAGTAAGCTCCTACCACTTGGCTACGTCTATGTTTGTGCTAGTAATAGCGAAAGTACCCTATATTAATTAATGTTGACCAGTTATATTGGAAAAAGGATCTAATCTAATTTTACATATCACGTAGAGGTCGCGGCCTGTAACTCCTGTCGCGGCTCCTTCTCTCCCGCGGCCTCTCTTCTTCCCCCACGTGCTGTCTCCTTGCGAAGAACGTGGTGGAGGCCCCCCCTGATCCCTACAGCCAGCACCAGCAACTAGCGTGGTCAAGGCCTCCCTGAAGCCTTTGTCGTCGCGGCGCCCCTTCCCTATGGCCGTAGTCGTCACGGCCCTTGAATTCCCTGCAGCGACTATGTCATATTGTTGCCCTAGTTCCTTCCTGATCATCGACGAGATAAGGAGAGCGAGCACCGTCCAGTCCTTCCTCGGCATGCGAGAAGGGACGGAGCGTTGAACCAGTTTCACCTCGCACCCTTCATCATCCACGAGAGAGACGATCAGTGGCCGGCCAGCGATCATCGACGTGAAAAAGAGAATCACGTATGCTTGCATTATTGCTCAGTTTTTTCTCTACATATTAATGTTAAGTTTGGTACTTGACTAGATCAAATTACTCACTGTTGTTGATAATCCAGACAAATTTTTGCAAGATTCTTATTCAGATGCATTGGCTAATCCACACATTTTTTTAATTTGTCTGGTTCAGTGCAAAAACATTCCATTCTTAGCCAATGGTACTCTATTTATGCTGAGGTCTAGCTGTTTCATTTTTGGCTTGGTCTAGCAGTGTTGATTAGTTATTGTGACTTAATGTGTAATACTCCAATCTGAGTTTCGGTTCATGACATTTATTTTAAGGAGATAATCATTTGTTTCCATTAACTTCTGTTGTGAGCATGGATGGAGAAAACAGCAAAACACGTTGGGTAGCTGTTGTCACAATGGACAGTGCTAAGCTTCTGAATATTGCTCTAGATATACTAGTATATAAAGTTTGATAAAAAATGCCCTTTGGATGCATTAAAGTTTATTAAATTATAGTTAAAGTAAAGGGCCCTTTTTTAAGCTTGGCTCAGAAAATTGAAAGATTTTTAATTTTCTTTATCTCTGATAAATAAAGTTTATAATAATGTTATGATCCCTTCAATTTAACGTGCTACAGGAAATCATTGTGATATTTTGAAGATATAATTAATGGCACATGACGATGATCGAAGTTGGATGCTGTTGCCTCGGTCATCAGTTGAGTGGCAAGCAGGTCTGGATAAATTTATTGATACTATTTTCGAAGGCACCTATGCATAAAAAATTGCACCATGTCCATGTTCAAGGTGTTGTGGAGTCGTGTACAAAAGAAAATCCAAGGTTCAAATGGACTTGCTAACTAAAGGCTTTGATGAGAACTTTGTCAAAGAGAAAGGTAACGCTGACATATTTTTGAATGATGATAGGGATCTGAATGTAGGCCCACCAGATGATGCATCATCCACCAACAATCTGTTGTCCACATTAATTAGGGGTGCGACCAGTGGCAATACCAATGAAGAGCCTTGTGAGAGTGCAAACAAATTCTTTGATTTGTTGAAAGTTGCGCGACAAGAGGTGTGGCCAGGCTCACAGCTTACCAAGGTATCATTCTTGGTCTAGCTCTTTCAGCTTAAGTGCATGGGTGGATGGAGTAAGGAGAACGCAGAGCAAACACTTAGAATATGGAGAGATACGCTCCCCCCAGGACATTGTATCCCAGACACTATCAAGAAAGCACAGAAGATTATCCGCGACCTTGGCCTCTCATACATTAAGATCGATGCTTGTGTGAATGACTGCGTGTTATTTTGTGGGCCGTTGGTTGATATGGACACGTGTCCAACATGTGGTGAGAGTAGGTGGAAGAAAGACGACACAAATTCTGATGAGATTGGCGAGTCTAGCGAAAGTGGTGGAGCAAAGAAGCGCACTCCTTGCAAAGTTCTAAGGTATTTTCCACTTACTCCTCGATTGCAAAGATTATATATGTCAAAGGAAACATCATCATTGATGCGGTGGCACAAGGAAGAATTGGTTAGTGATGGGAAAATGCGGCATCCAGCAGACTCATTGGCGTGGAAGCACGTGAATGACAGGTATAAGTGGTTTGATTCTGATCCACGTAATGTTAGACTGGGACTTGCATCCGATGGCTTCAATCCGTTTGGGATGTTGAATGTTAATTACACTTGTTGGCCCGTGATATCGATTCCTTATAACCGCCTCCTTGGTCGTGTGTTTGAAACAACCTTATTGGATGATGTCGATGTTGATACGGGCCTAAATCTCCGGAGTGAACATTGATGTATATTTGCAACCTCGATCGATGAGCTACATGATCTATGGGTTAATGGAGTTTTAACATGGGATGAGAAGGAGAAGAAGAATTTTACTCTACATGCAATTACATTGTGGAAAATTAATGATTTCCCCGCATATGCGATGTTATCCGGTTGGAGCACAAAAGGTAAGTTTGCTTGTCCTTATTGTCACAAGCATACTAATTACTTGTGGTTAAAACATGGCTCAAAGCATTGCTACTTGGGACATCGCCGATTTCTACCCATGAACCATAAGTGGTGAAGGAACAAGACGAGCTTCAATAACAAGGCTGAAACTAGGAAGCTCCAATGCCACTCGATGGTGAGCAGTGTCATGGGACTATGAAAGTTTCCGAGCAAGTGACTTTTGGAAAGGATACAAGGAAAAGGAAGCAACGTGTGAAGAAAATAGGTGGCACAACTGGAGGAAGAAGAGTATTTTCTTTCAGCTTCCTTCTTCGGAAATCATTGCTAGTACGACATAATTTGGATGTCATGCATATAGAGAAGAACACATGTGAGAGCTTCATGGGGACTTTGTTGGAGTTACAAGGTAAATGCAAGGGAAAGTGAGAAGGCTCAACTTGATATGCAACATTTGTGTATAAGGCCGATCAACATCCGATTTCGAAAAGGGTAAGTACACCTTGCCACCAATACCAGTACTCTCTAGGTAAGGATGACAAGGAAATTCTGTGCAAATTTTTACATGGCGTCAAGTTCCACGATGGTTATGCCGCAAATATTCGGAGATGTGTGGACGTCAATGGTTGCAAGCTTCGGACTTAAAACTCATGACCTACACGTAATCTTGCAAAAACTTTTGCCTTTAGTGGTGCGCAACATATTGCCTGAAGATGTGGTGACCCCATTGATGGAGCTAAGTAGGTTCTTTAACTCACTGTGTTCAAAGGAGTTGGAGTTTTCAGAAATTGAAAAACTGAGCACTTCGATTAGGGAGACCCTTTGTCGGTTAGAAATGATTTTTCCACCGACTTTTTTTGATATTATGATGCACTTACCGGTTCATCTTGCTGACGAAGCTAGACTTGGAGGCCTGGTTTGTTATAGATGGATGTATCCAGTTGAGAGGTACCTTCGTACTCTTAAAGGCTATGTGAAGAACAAAGCGTGCCCCGAAGGTTCAATTGCAGAGGGGTATATATCTGAGGAGTGCCTCACATTTTGCTCTCGTTTTTTTGAAAATATTAGTACCAAGCTTAATCGTCCAGAGCGTCATGAAAGTGCCGCTGCTAGTGAACCACCATCTAGGCTAATTATATTTGGGAGCCTTGACTACAGTAGGAAAGGAAGTACTCTCAAGAAAGTTTCTGATATTGAAATGCATAGGATGAGGCATTACATATTAACCAACTGTGACGAGGTCACTCCATGGATAAAGTAAGCTATATTTTAAATTGTTTTTATGGTGGTCATGAATGTTTAAAATATATATGTAACTAATGAACGTATTTTCAATTGTTGTGGATAGTGAGCATATGGATGAGCTGAAGAAAATTAGCTCAAGGCATGTTGATAAAAGACACAAGGAGGAGTTTGTATCATGGTTTGAGCGTAAAGTGAGTCGTCCCTAATATATTTATCCATATTTTATTTCTATAGTTTCCACATGCTTCTTGTAAATTTATTAGTCCGTAATAATAGCTAGCCACTTTGTCGGTTTATTAGTCCCTAATATATTTTTAAAATGATTAAATGCAGATCAGCACATTGCGTGCACAAGGGGAAATAGATGACATGATTTATTATCTATCTCGCGGTCCAGACCCTCGGGCTCGTGTGTTCAATAGGTGTTTCATAAATGGCTTCCTTTTTCGGGTCTCTTCCATAGAGAACTGCTTAACTACTCAAAATAGTGTTGTATTCGTGAAGGGCGATGCAAATACAGGAAACATGGGCTGGTATGGTGTGCAAAAGAAAATCATTTGCCTTGATTTTCAAGGTGACAAGGAAGTTATGTTGTTCTAGTGTGTATGGTTTGATGTCCCTGCAGCTAGTAGTAGCAGATCGAGAGGGTACAATAAGGATAAATATGGGGTCATCGATATTGATATCACTCGGTTTAGGTATTCAAGGTCAGTGCTAGTAAAATCTACTTTGTCAAACAAAATTGATGGACCAAAGTTGCATTGTTACATACCACTTGTTCTCATTCTGCAGAAACTTAGCAGCCAGAACTCCTCCAACCGTCAGCAACAAAGAACCAAGCATGTGATGGGTTCAAAGAACTTCTCACAATGTAGCTTTGAGCTGGTAATAATTAGATACACTAATCTAGTCCTTCCCTTGTATGATGCAATACTTGTGTGCTAAATTTTTTGGCATCCTAGAGAGACCAAGAAACTGGTGAAGAGTCAAGTGATCTTCTTCTTAGGAGGACCACTCACACAAAACATGGCGCATCGTCAAATCCTGTATCAGCTTCAGTATATGTAAGTAAATGTTTCATCAACCTTTTTTATAGCTGCTGGTAGTGTCAAGCAACTCTTTATAGGTTCTGTTATTTAATTTAGGAAAATGCAACCATGAAAATTGGTGAGATTGGATTAGAACCTGATAGACCAGCACTTACAACTGTTGAGGAGAACATGATTTTCCAGTCATGCTACAAAGAAACAACACAAATCAAATCATCCAAATTACATGGGCATGGATATTTGGCTACGTATCAAACTCGTAGAGAACTTATGAAAGGGAACCTTGAAGTACATGCACATGCTCAAGCTGCAGCTAGGGAGAAGTGCATTGCTTTAGAAGCGGAGGTTGACAAGCTCAAAGAACAGATTGCGCAAGAAGCTACAGAAAGGGAAAGGGAGAAAGAAGAAAATAGGAGGAGGATGCAAGAGGAGCTGGAAAATGCTAAGATAAACTTAAGAGAAGAAATGAAGCAAGAATTTCTTAATATGCTAGCGCAGCACAAATGAGCTATGATTATGGTATTAGAATAATTTTTTATCCTTTGTACTCTTGATAATCTTATGATTGTGATGCCTAATCTTTCACCCCCAATATTTGTATGTATACAGTACCCTGCAAAACAATGCCAGTACACAAGTTGCACCAATCATAGAAGAGGAAGATGAGACCAGTGGACATGAAAATGAAAATGAAAATGAAGATGGGTTATAGGAGGTAATGACATTATTTCAC